AGTACTAGAGAGAAAGAAAGAGAGTGAATAAGAGCATGAACACAGAACAATATATGTTCCTTTGACCTGTGACAAGAGACATCAAGAGAAAATCGCATACAAGGAGAATAGAAGTGATAATATGATCTCATGGACGGTGCAGATCATAACACTTCGGTTTAATTATTGTTGTTTTTGATGATATATGTTGACATGACATTATTGGATCAAAAGAACATTTTATATTTTTCCATTGACCATTAGCAAAAAATTGATGAGATTTAAATGAATCGATTATTTTTTGAATATCATTTAATAATAATAATTTACATTTAGAAACAATATAAAAATCAAAATCAATTAAATAAACTAATATATTAGGCATACAATATTTTTCAAGAAAATTTTCGTTAATAACACAATTATCATTCATTATATTTTTTATATCGAGATGAAGTTTTAATTTTTCAATATAATTAACTTTATTAATTATCCATCTTAAATAATTTAACTGAAAATCATCAGAAATAACACTTTTTAAAATAAAAGATTTTAATTTTGGTATCTACAATAAACAAATAATATAATTAAAAAATAATTTTTTTATTTCATATGTTTGAACACAAATATATAAAATTTCAAATTTCTATTCATGTATTTGCAGAATCATTCTAAATAAGTTAAGAAATAAATAAGAATTGAGATTTTTTTTGTGTCAATGAGAAAACTATTTATTTTGAAATTTATTCATTTATTTTAATCTAACAAAGAAAAATATTCGAAATATAACATCGAGAGAAATTTTCGAATGATAACACTGTCAAATCTATGCACTTCTAATAATAATAATATAAACGATAATTTCAACTAAAAATAAACGAAAGATTATGTAAGAGACTTGGGCCAACAAGTCTTTCTACTTTAAATTGTTAATCATAATCTAATTCTGATTACAAAAAAATGATGGGTGTAGGTGTATTCAAATAAACAAAATTTCGAATTTAACCATCTTTAGCCTTATTAAGACTTGCAAAATTTATAAATCATACTAAAACAAAGATAGTCACATGTTGGATCGGACTAGAGCCTATCGGGTTGGTTATAGGATGATGATGAAGAGTATGTTTGTCGAGATATAATTACGAAAAATGCTTTTTTTTTTCCTTATTCGAGAATCGTAACGTTCTGGATTATTTATTTTACCTTATTATACCAATTGACAATAGTTGGTCGAAATTTTTTCATCTCGATCTCATATGATGGTTCTTTGATTAAGGAATTTTTAAATTGAATTGAAAGAATTTCAAGAGTAGGTACATATTTAATAATATTTTCAATAATATAACCATAAATTAAATGTATGTATAAACAACGAATACTCATGCAATTAGTAACAAATTCATTATTAATTAAATTAGAAGATAATGAAAAATATTGATGAATATTAACATAAGAATCATCATTTGATATATCCAGTTCAAGATAAATTAATTTACTTTTAACAGAAAATAGTTTACGTAGAAATTCTTTGAACATCAACATTAATTTTGATTCTATTTAAACGAAATAAATAAATATCTTTTATTTAAATAAAAACTCAACATCTTAAATTGTTCTCTGCATTTAAATATATTCAACTAGTTGTCATAGTTTAGAACATTTTAAAATAAAATAAGTGAAGAAATTTTTTTTTTAGAAAATCAATATTTATTAATAAATTAAAATTTACTTTGATTAAAACAAGTTATTCCAGACATTCTTTGAGAATTATTCGAGTCAAACATATCTTGATCAAATGATAATACTAATGCATTTAATTGATATTGAATAAGTAATGATAAATTTTCAATTAATTTTTCTGTTAAATAACATTTCGTAAGAATAAGTTTTTTAAGATTAATAAAACGAACAATTTTCGAATGAAAAATCCATTGAGATATAATATCACAACAATTTGAATTTGTTCCATCAATATGAATCCATTTAATACAATCAAAAACAGATGATATATTATTTATTTTTGATGTTATTATTGAATGACATCTATTAAATGATAAACATCTTTTACTAATAACAATTCCATTTTTATTCATTGAAAATTTTAAATAAATAAGATTATTAAATCGTTTATTTAATGATCCAAATGATTCAATCATTTCAAACCATGTTATATAAGATAATATTATAACAAAAATTTCATTTGGAAGAATTTCTAATCTATGTATCATTTTATCTAAAACAAAGACAACAACCAGTTCAATAAGATTTTCTTGATAATCGCATTTTAAAAATTTACTTTTAAACGTTAATTATAAAAGTATTTATCTCAAAAATTTTATTTAATGGGGATTTATTTTTTTATTGGATTTTGTTCAAATATGTAAAAAAAATCATTTAAAATATCTACTCAGTTGAGCTACTTTTCATTTCAAATGAATATATATCCAAATCAGATTAACAAAAGAGAAAAACGTTCATTCTTATGACCAAATGCTTGGCGCAATCATCTCTTTAGACAAATATTGTAATTAAATTCTTTTTGATGAAATAATTTTCAATTAACGAAATTAACATATTGACTATGACGACGTTTTCCAATCATTGTTAACTAATATAAGAATCTGTCAATCTATATATTCATCATTAGAATTCGAATACACCCTGTAATCAATAATTATATTAATAAAAGATGAACATATTATATAATCTTTTTTCATCATAGAATTGAGATATTCTCGGATATTCTTCTTTAATATTCAGATACATTAAATTTAATAAAATAGAACATAGTATAAGAAACATCTTATGAAGCTTTTCAACACTTTATAGGATATTGTTCATGTTAGATAATAGTGATTATCTATTTTATAAATATGGTTTGTAATCTCAACTACTAAAAAGGGCAGTGCAATGTTTTAAAAAATTCTTGTCTCTTCTTGATTTGATAAGCTCAGAAAAATGATCGAAATGATAATTCAAGCAAAAAAAATTTCTCTGAAAAAGATTTCTCATTCATTTTCTGCACGGATGAAATATAAATCTAAAACTAATTATCTTACATGTTAAAACACTTCACGAGTAAATTTGTCTTTAACCACATTTCAGAAGATATTTTATTAAATTAACGATTGACAAGTTAGAAAAAGAAAACGCGAAGTTCTTAAATATACTGAAGAAAATTTTCCTTTGTTCTTTGTATGATAACACAATCTGTACTTTTTAGAACAAGTCTAAGGGTATGAACTATAATTATTAATCATTTTCAGTTTTATCTCCTACATCTACAAATGTTATATTAAATATTTCTCTTGTAATTTGTTTAAAAAAAAGTTCAATTTGTCTTAAAGAATCAAATTAACAAAAAACATCGGATAGTCGAATACAAAAGTTTTTTCGTCTTATAACGAGATTATTTCCCTCGATTTTCATTTCAAATACTTGTCTGCAAAAAATCTAAAAAATGAGCAAACATCTGTTTCGATATTTGGACTAAAGACGTCCTGTTCTCTGTCAGTTATATTCTATTTATTTTCGAATAAAAATCAGAGAAACTATCAATGAATTAAATTTATTAAAATGATTTTGTTTTAAAGAATTATTTTTTTTGAAAGTTAAATCCTATGAGAACACCAAAAAAAAACTTTTTTTTACCTGTTTAAAAATTTCTACAAGATAAAATAATGGTTATATGTAAACACAGTCCTACAATGTTCAATGACTGACTCACACATTGCCGATGACTCTCTATAATGAACGAAAAACAACAACAACACATCTTCTTTCTCCTTTTATTGATTCGAAAATGAACAAATTTGACGAAAAAAGTTCCTATCCGACTAATATGGTAGAATATTAAATGGGCATACTCATTTTTCTCTTCGATTGTTGTCGTCTAACAATTTGACCTATAACAAGAAAAATCTACAAATATATCGAATGACCTTACAATAATTACCTATCAGAGACGATCACAGGGCAGTTTTTTTCGTCCTGCTCTTATGGAAAGTGAAGGCATACAAACCGACGAGGGAATGCAACCAATTGATTAGTCGCTTTTGAATCAAGAGTATGTACATTATGTAGTTCCGGGATAATAGCTTTTTGATGCCGAGATACTGATTTTTTTCAGTATTTTTTAAAGAGAATTTCATGGTTCTCTCCGGAAACACCTGAAAAACTTTGTATAGACATAGGTCTTAACGAGAATAATTTATTGTGAAAGTTTTAGATCTTTTTGTTTGCTCCTATCCTAAAATATGACTCTAGTAAAAGCGTATCTTTTACATCGCTTATATAAACTGGTAGATTCTATGTTCGTAATGATGATAGGAGCAAATCAAACGATTAGGAAACTTGTGGGTGTGGGTGTGGATGGCAGTTGAAGTGAAGTGAAGACACACGCACACCCACACCCACACCCTGTGATATAAACTACTTAACAAAAGAAAATAAATAAACGAGACTTAAGTTCTATACGTACATGTGAGCGATTGATAAAAACTTACTATTTAGCATATAATCAGTTTCCAAGGCAAATAAAATCAATACAAAAACGGAAAAAAGTTTTCAAAACTGAAAGCGTTCCAAAACATAAAAGCCGCACATTCTAACGTGTTGCGGGCGTATTATCAATTTAAAACGCATTTTTATGATTCACAATTCTAACCCACTTTTACGACATCAAAAACTTTTACGCATCCGCAAAGGATTAGAATGTACGGTTTTTACTATTTCTTTTTCGTTTAATATTTTAAACTTGTTTTTACACGTGTGATTACGGAACTAACTATATCATATGGGAAAAGGAGACTATGTATTGCATCGTCATTACCTGAGAGCTTGCTAAGTCTACTTGAGTATCTTCATAATATTTTGTTGACTTGGTGAAAATTTTTAATTATAAAGAATGATTGA